TTCATTCTAGAATGAAAGAGGCATAATTTATTATTATTTCCTTATTTTTATGGTGATTGTGAGATTGGTGAAATTTACTGAACTCGTAAAGAGATTAATTTAAAATTTTCTGATGCATAAATGTACTTTTAATCTTAAAATAAATATTACTTTGCATGATAGATAGGTAACATGTGAAAACAAAAAAGACACAAGAAAAACATTGATTTATAAACCTTAAGACTTAATAAAAAAAAAATTGATATTTTGCATTTGAAAGGATTGTAATGTTTACTGGTAATCTGCCAAATTTCATTAACATTCGTTTACTAAGTTAAAAGCTATAGCATGAAAACTATAACAAGCACAAATTGGTTACGAGATTGGTCCCAGGTATCGAGCCTGTGCTGAAAGGGTTAAAGCTGTAACAATAAGTTTAGAATTTTAAAACTTGTTTTTTCTGGAGAGCAGAAAAATGAATTATTGAAAACGTAATTAGGAGTTCAAAATTATTGGATATATAAAGAGTCTTTCTATGTGTTATCTGACTGTGGAACGAGTACGTTGGAAGTAAAAACTTAAACATTAATATTTGCTTTATGTGTGAATAGAGCTATTGGTTTAATATTACAAACATAATGGCAATATGTTACTTTGACAGCTGGAATAATTAAAAATAGCAATAATCAGACACCCTAGTTTTGATTAGTTAAATATATTCATGATTCATGATATTAATCAATTAAGCTGAACAAAGTTACTCAATCAAAAACAACAGTGAAAAATTATAATGATAATATTTTCATTAGTAGGTAGTTGGAATAATTGAAAACTAATAATTAGTTGATTATTTTTGTGACAGAAATAAATTTTAATGGCCAGCTTTTCCATGCACTTCTTCCAGTAGGCTACTATCTATGTTATAGTAAGAGTAGTACATCATCTGAATCGTGTATGAGAAGTCTACGTAACTTACCGTATTTTTCGGAATATAAGACTCGCGGTGTATAAGATGCAACCTTATTTTGAAGACAAAGTTTTGTGGGAAAAAAAGCTACAGTTGCATTTGAAAGATTTTTAT